ACTTCCCATTCCTTTCAAGGCAAACAACATATAAATGTAGTTGGCTTTGAAAGCAAGGTAATAAACAAATGAGAGCAGAGAAGCATTCTTTCTATTTATTTTTAAGATATTATTACAGTTTTGTGTTTATACTATAAAAGCTGTTAATAAAAGCATGTGATAACATATCTAGGGCTCACTACTTTTCATTTGAAGAAAAATCACAAAATAAGATTAAGTTGTAAGCTCAAATTTCTTTCTAAATAAAAACCTGTAGTATTTTAAATATAAAGATGTACATACCACAAATGTGTAAGTGATGTCAATACACTCACAATACTTCAAATATGAAGCTGGTAGAGAAGGAACAGTGAGATTCGTGGTCCAAGTTTTAGAATCATGACCTCCAACTGTACCCAATCTTTCCATCACAACCGTACTCTCATCCTCTTTTGTATCAGTATTATACCCACAAGAAGCTCTAAATGTTACAATCTGAAAAAAAATATCATTAAGCAAGACAAGCAAGCAACAAATTCACCAGTTAAAGAACAGAAATGAAACACTAAAAGAAGAGGGAAAATAGAGATTTTGTAAACCCGCTTGTAATCTATATCTTAAAACCCAAGTGCCTCAAGTCATAATTTTTTGACGATAAATAAATACAAATAAAAAATATGTTTATGTTCATTAGGAACTTGGAAGTTCTTTCGTGAAAACCTTTGGAACAAAAATTTTTCAAGTACAATCAATTCCTTATATATATTAAAAAGTTATTTTATCATAATATATACATTTCTTCTCCCATAGATCCACATAATTTTTTTTGTTTATACATATTCTAAAACCTGTTAATTAATGTCATTAATACTTTTAATGCAATGACATTGGTTGAAAATAAGTCTTGTTACCTTTGACATTATTGTTTTATGTACTAGAAATATCAGGATCCATTTTCAAGCTGTCCATTAATGTTTCTACAGTGAAATTACTTTGTGTTTCATAAGTTCTTGTAACTCAAAAAAATTATATAAGAGAACAAATTGAACTGGATTTGTATTGACAATGTTTTACTTTACATTCAAAGGAAACCATTTCATTTATGAATATATAATGACCACACTTTTTATAATTTTAAATTGTTAATGATTACAATAATAAACTTATATTCCCCACTATTAGATCAGTGGTAAAATAAAACTAATAGAAAAATACATTGACTGCAGACTTTAACAGCAATTGTATAAAAGAATAATATAATTATTACATACCTTCTCTAAATAACATTTAACAGACACTTCTTCAGAGGTTACATTGTCACACTCTACTACAGCTGCTATTTTTTGCCCAGGTACAAATCCTCTAAGAACATTAGCCACTAGAGTAATAGGACCAGAGCGACAACAACAACAGCATAAATACTTTTCTTTAGTATTTTGAACTGGTTCCTGCAAACATTAAATAAATAATATTATTTAAACTACTTGTTAATTCGAAATAAGCAAATTTAAATGTTAAAAAAATGATAAAACTGATTAACCTGCATATTTGGCTCCAAGTTCAAGTCTAAAGGAGCTAAAACAGTGAATGCAACTTTACAGTCATAATCGAACTTCCATGGTCGATCTACTTTAACTTTCACAGTATACCTCACATGGCCATAAGAACCCTCAAAAGACGATGGAATGTTATAAGGGAGAATGTACGAAAAAGGATAAACATGCTCTCCAGAAGGCAACACCATATCTCCATCTGAAAAATTTTTGAAATAGGATTTCAAATAATAATAAACAAATATTTATTGCCACAATACTAGCAGTACATCCTGAAAGCTCTGATATGAGAGTATCATAGACGAATCGGGGGGGAGGGGGGGTGGCATGAAAGCCATACCCTCCCCCCAAAAAAGCCTATTTTTCGTTCGTTACCTTCCATTATTTAACATAATTGATTTATGTTATATTTATTTATGTTAGAATTATGTAATTATTTAAAAATAATATTGTATTATACAAAATTTATAAACAATATAATAACAAATGTTTATTATTTAACAAAAATCTATGACGGCCCCTCTCCAAAATGATTGGGCAGATCTGTCCTTGGAGACAATGAAAGAGAAATGGAAGAAAATACTATGAATGGAGAAATGTTAATTGATGAGTTTGTTTTTGACTGTCAAATTAATTTAGATTATTGCTCACAATTCCATTGAGTCATGAATTGAAAAGTTCACAGTTGGAAAAACAACAGTAAAATCCTTTTGAAATTCAAATGAGTTTATTTATGAAATAATGATTTAAAAAGTAACAACTTATTCATAGCTCACAATGCTTTATGTACATTACATGACAAATAACATTTCCATGTAAACATATGTATTGAATGACATGGGGTCAGGAGAACATCAGAGTTTACAGGTTGGCAGCATGGTCGGACGTGAGCCTTGTCATGGTGGATGCCAACTGGGGAAACAGTATTAAGGAGGGCGAGGGGGAGGAAGTGAAGGAAGTTGAAGACAAATACATCAACATACATACTCTTATGTTAGGTAAAATAAATTATCATCTATTTGTGAACAGATTATTTTCCATCAATGAGTTCATCAATGGAGATAACTTGCTGTTCAATGTTTTAGACACCATCCTGGGAACATATCTCTGTTTGAAGTCTATGATATTTACATTCTGAAAATCAATTGTGTGTTTGTGATCAATCCTATGCATATTTTGCATATTTTGCCCATTTGCAGCTATTAAATAAAATGTTATCAAAGGATAGAAAACTAACACTGTACAAGACAGTGAGTACACCAGTTGTAACATATGTCACAGAAACATGGACTATCAAAGAAAAGGATGTGCAGTGTCTTATGGACAGATTATAAGAAGGAATTTTTGGACCAGTTAAAGTGCCCAATTAAGATTAGTGGATTAGTGGACGAACAATTCTGAACTGGGCAGTATACAAAAGCATAATAACATATTAAAATTTATCAAAGCCATGAGATTAAGTGGGCTTGGTCATCTTAATAGGATGCCACTTGACAAAATAGTGAACAAAATATTTAGCTGGAATCCAGTGAGCACCAGGAGAAGAAGAAGCCCTAAAAATAGATGAAACGATGATGAGGATAAGGAAAATGAAGACTGAAAATTGAATCGAGCACTCTAAGAATAAGGAAAAATGGAAAAGGATGAGCAGACCAAGACCTACATTTGAAAGTTGTAGAAGCTTAGAAGAAGAAGATCAATTCTATGTCCAGATATTGAATTCTGTTAGGGGATGTTATAAAATATTCTTTCTCTATTCTTTTGTATGCTTCTCTAAATCACGTATCACAATAAAATAAGTGGGCAATCTTGACATTTTATTTGATAAACAACATTATTCTTCTTTAACTTTTCTTATACTCTTTCCGGTTTTAATTCAGAGTTTTTTGTTTATCCTCTTACAGGCAACAACACTATCTACATTATTAGACTTATTAAATTTATTTTGTAAAACTTTCATAACATTAGGTACAATGGTAGGGTCATTATTTTCTAGTCTTATTTATTATTAACATGTACTTTTTGTCCAAGTTTATTCACATTATGTAAACAAACATTCTTTTTTTTTTAAGAAATCTTAAGTACTTTACCTTTCCCAGAGCTTTCAGGTATTTCAATTTTAATGACCCCCCACCAAAAAGGTCTTACGTGATGCTCCAACCAGCCAAACTTCCATTTGTGCATATATTTCATTTGCACAGTAATCTTCATATTCTGTTTCTGATTTCCCATCTCGAACCACTTCTACACTTTCCGTCCATTTCACTTCTGCTTCTCCTTTGATACGTAAGCATATTCCTGCTCAGAAAAGTTTAAGGTAATATAAAAATACATTTGGTTTTATTTTTTGTTTTGTAGATGATAAATTCACAACTATTATTCATTAAGATAACATCTCATCTTTTTTCATTACAGTTTATTTTTTTAAGAACTTACTGGCCTTAAAATCAAGACTATAATATTTCTACAAAGCTTAATTCAAAACTGGTGGCAGATTATGATTTTAAAGGCTTGACTTTAATTAGTACACACATTCTTATTATTATTTTGAATATTTTTTCAAATCGTATTTTCCTCTACGAAACCAGGTACATTTGGTTTCGGTCAATCCAATCCAATACTAAATGTGCCCTCGCTCATTTTCATAATCTAGGAGGTGGGGAAGCTGCGATCCAATCAAAATTCATCTTGCAAACGCGCGTGTTTTTGTAACAATATCGAACAACCAATATCGGAATATTGGGATTTACAAACAATACGCAATAATTATCTCCAGTAAACAAAATACCGATCATTCAAGCACAAACTACTTTTTCTTGTTGCAAATATTTACCTCGTATTTTCTTCTCCTTCGTTGTGATGAGAGTAACACATCCAGTCACTTGTTGCCCGGCGTAATAAATGCAAGCGGGATTGTCAAATTTAATTTCAAACTTCTGCACGCTCATTTTCTAATTACATATGGGCTGAACTCCACGAAACGTAAAGCTGCTAGCAGCTTTCCGCTCAAGATGCGATATACTCACGCTGATGCATCCACCAACTGAAGCCAAAAGAAGGCTAGCAGCTATTTATGGATTCAAGGGAACAACATGACTACTGACCTTGCAAGTCGCACAATGCATTTTCCCTCGTTGACCTACCATTTAAGGGCTGTCCATAATAGCGGAGAGACCAAATTCTTGAAAAGAACACATTGAGGAGCAGTTTTTATTCTTTCGTATACGTACGTACAGACCGAGTAATAAATATAATATACAGGCGGAGTATGAAGTATAATATTCAGGCTCGGAATAAGCACGGAATGGGCACTTCGGAGATCCGGCCACTATTGGCTCCAGCAGTGAGAGAGAGAGCTCTCGCAACTCTCGTATGCATGCAAAGGCAACCGAAAGAGAACCTAGGCAAAAAGTAGGCAGAGAAGAAGGGTAAGACAGTGTGGTTCGGGACTATGGAGTTAGGTGAAGAGCAAGTAAGAAAAAAAATACACATCCTTTTCTTTCTGATTCACTGATTAGTGATTCCGGAAGTGTAACTGTGTCATTTGTCCCGAAAGTGTAGTGCATGTAATTTCCTCAGGAGGTTGTGGTTATCTTCCCCCGCTGGATGGTGAGATCCAGAATCGACCTACACGTCCGCTAACAGGGTTTCCCCAACCAGGTATCCCCCACTAGCGTACTGCCGCCCCAGCCGGGACAAGCTCTAAGCTCCCGACTGGCCACCTAGCATATGTGGTAGTGTAGTGTATGTAGTGTAAGTGTAAGTAACGGGTGAGGATAGGACAAGGAAGAGGAAGAAAAGATCGCGCACGGTCCGTAGCCCATTTGTTAACGTTCTACTCCGGCATTAGCCTGATGTTGATTGGAGAAACCACGAACAACTAATACGCCGAGCGCTAGACAACGGCTGAATTCGACCTAGCTGACAAGCTAGTCTTGTTTATAGAATTGCTGTTTCTTCATTAAAGCCCAACATAAAATTGTGTGCTCAGCGGTTGCGTCCGTAACCATAAACATTGTCGAGACTCTTTGGAAGTACGTTAGCTTAGCTGCGTATGCCCTATCCGTTGAAAAAGTTTGAAGAAAAACATTTAGAGCTGAGAGAAAGGCGTTTAAGCGTTTCTGAAAAGGGGGAATTTTGAACTGGTTTTCAGAGAAAATGTCCCGTTTTCGAGAAACTTTGTGACATTATTTAAAGCACATGTACTCATAAACATAATACTGTAAACACACCGCCGCAAATGTAGGTATCAACGACGTAAGAGACATTTCAAACGCATATTTTTGTAATTTTTAGAAAAAAACAACAACAAAAAGCAGGGCAAATTGATGTTTATGTTACCTCATAGAGTATATTTAGTATTAGCCCTACCAGAAGTTTAAAGGAAAAAAATGAGCAGTGTTGGGGAAAATCTTGTTTTTTAAATTGCACATATTGCCCGCAATATTGCGCGAAAACTACTAAAGTTTCAAAAAAATGTTCCTGACCTCAGTAAAAGAACTCACTATGGAGAACACGTTTTATTTGAGGGAAAATTCTCTCTTCAATTTTGTAGTTGTAGGAAGACACCCGAAAAATTTGCCCGAATAACCAGTTATTTATTTGATGAATTTCATTTCCAATTAAATGAATGCATATTTTTATAAAAAATCAATATGTAAATTATTTTCAATTATTTACAAACAAGTCTGTACAGTGTTTCTCCAGTGTTTTTGTGAGAATTTCCCTTTACAGCGTTGTTACATTTCAAATATTGGGATCCAACATTGAAGCGGGGGATTTCAAAAAACGTGTCTATAAGAACTATGAATTTTAAAATTAAATATACAAAACTTAGCTATTAAAATGTGCAATTTTTGAGGATGAGTAACACACGCATTCCATTAATGAATAGTGGATCTTGCGAATGGAAACATGCTGGACAACGGTTAGAAGATCAAGAGACTTCAAAATTCCTCTTAGATGTGGAGTTGGATTTCGCAAAAGGTTCAAGCGTAGTTGCAAGTGTCAACTTTGCACTTATTCAATAAGGTGAAGAGGCACATACATTTTGGTGAAATATTCTTCCCCGTCTTATTAGCATTATACGATTTGTGTGTGAACATCGGTTGGGGTTCCGTGGCAACGTAAAGCCTTGGATCACGCGATAGTTGGTACAACCTCAGCTTGCTTGAATTATTGGCGGAGTATGTCAATTTTCGTGAGAAACACGACACAGATAATGCCAATGACCACGTCAGTTTCCTTTTGTCTTCCGTTTTCAATGAGAATATCGAAGTGATAAGAAGGTAAGTGCGCTATTAAATTATTGCAATGATAAAAAAGTGTTACTATTCGATTTCAATGGATTTATCACCAAATGAAGGTCGTATAGAACAACTCACCGTAATTTTTCGGTACATGGAAGAGTTAACTCCTGTTGAGAAATGTTTACAGTTCTTGCTCACTGAAAGTCACAAAGCACAGGACATTTGAATATCTTTTTAAATGCGAATCATTTGGACATATGTCGAGGACAGTCTTTCACAACGGTCTGCCATGAGCTGCCATTCAGTGGACTTCCAGCTGTCATTAAGTCGGACAATGAATTAGCTGAGCTTGTGCTTGCACATTCGCTGGATATTGTTGGCAAAGCTGCTGCAGAAAGTTGTGTTGCTGTAATAGTAGTACGAATAGCATCTCTAGTTTGATATCTGTGGAAAAATAGATTGAGATGCAAAGTGACGAAAGCTTAAGCCGA